GCGGCGGCAGCCCTTAAATAAGGTTGATAAGATGGCCATGACAAGCTTTAAGCTGGCCTGAGAGGTTTATCTGATGTCCATAAGAAGCTTATAAGATGGCTCCAAGAGGCCTATAAGGCAGCAGAGGCCTTTAAGATGCCTGTAAGGCAGGAGAAGCTTTTCAGAAGGCCTAAGAGGCTAATAAGATGGCCATGACAGGCCTGTAACATGGCCTATTGTGGCTTATAAGATGCCAAAGGAGGCCTATAAGATGGCCAGAGTCCATATGGTTTCGAAAGGCCTATAAGATGGCCTAACATGTGACAAGACGGCAATGAGAGGCCTATCAGATGGCAAGAAGAGGTTTATAAGATGGACATAAGAAGCCTATAAAACGGTTCTAAGAGGCTTAATTAAAAACGGCTTAAGATGCTCTGGAGAGGCTTACAAAGAAGGTCAAGAGGGATAACTAAGATCGCCGTGAGACGCTTATAACATGGCTTGACAGGCCCATAAGATGGCCATGAAAGGCTTCTAAGATGGCTTAACACGGCCAAGAAGCCTGCAACTGGCCGTTAGAGGCCTGAAAGACTACTGCCTAGAGGGCAGGAGAAGCTTTTGGCCTGAGAGGCTTCTAGGATGGCCATAAGATAAGGTGGCCTAAGGAGGCCTGTGAGATGGCTCGAGAGGCCAAGATGGCCTTAAGAGGCACATAAGATGGCGCAGGGTAGGGCCTACGCTCGCGAGACGCATAGACGAGGGTCAAAGCTTCTATACCCTAATGCCTTTCATTCTGAGACCTCTCTTGAAACTTAAAACCCCGTAGCTTTCGCTACCCCTTGCGTTTCCAAAGTTTGGGTGGGCGCATTCTGAAGGCCGCTTCTGCTGCCTCATAGGCCTCTTAGAGCCGTCTTTTATGCTTCTTATGGCCATCATGGCCACCTGATAAGGCCTCCCAGACCGCCATATAAGCTCCTCGTCGCTGTCTGAGAAGCCTCTTAGGCAATCACAGAAATCTCTCCTGCCTTTTAGGCCTCTAATTCTGTTCTATAGACCTCTTAGAGCCATCTTATGATCCTCTTCTGGCTGTCTTAAAGGCCTCTCATGGCCATCTTATAATCCTCCCTGGCCATCTCAAAACCCATCTTTTAAGCCTCGTATTGCCGTCTCATAGGCCTCTTGGGCCTTCTTTCCTGCCTTATAAGCATCGTAGGCCAACTTATAGGCTTCCCAAGATGTCTCATAAGCCTCTTGGGCCTCTCAGGCAATCTTCTAGACTCTAGACACCTATTGGAGCCGTGCTACAGGCCTCTTGCGGACATCCTGTTTATAAGCTTCTTATAGCCATCTTATAGGTGCGATAGGCCATCTTGTAGACCTCTCATGGACATCTTGCAAGCCTAGTCTGGCCGTCCAAGAGGTTTCCTACCGCCATCTTGTAGGTTTCATAGGTCATCTTGTTCTAGGCTTCATACGTCTCTCATCGCCATCCTTTCTACCTCTTCGTGGGAGGGCGAGGCGGGTGTCGTGGGGGTGGGTGTCAAAAAGGGGGCTGGCGCGAGCGCTGGCGCAGCGCTTGTACCAGGCTCCGGCAAGCGCTGCGCGAGCGCAGGTGCCATGTTTCCGCAAGCGCTGGCGTGAGCGCTCGGGCAGGGTGGGGGCGAGATGGTGCGATGTGTAGCCGGAGCCTCGCCTCGTGGACAAGTTCCAACGTATGGCCATTAGTTGCGAAATGTTGCGAAGCAATGCGACTTTTGTAGCGGACACGACAGCACAGCATAGCACGGCCTCAGGTGAAGATCCACCGAGCGGAAGGTCAGCTTGCACCAGTACTCAAGCTCGCGCACCTACAGGCGACATGATCTGGATGGAAAACCCTGGCAGGCGTGTGGTTTGTCACCAACCTTGTCGATCTCAGAGAGCCTCCAAGGACACTTATCACGAATCACCGCGAGCAGCAAGCAGGCTTGCGGTCAAGGTCGGTGCTCTGTGGCAGTCAAACTTCTGGAAGCCGTGGTGATCAACCTGACGAAACATCAAGGATGGCGGTGGGGGTTCGTTTGTCGGCGTAACGGCGGTGCCCCAGAGTGTAGCGACGAAAGCTCATGTGCGGGATTTGCTGTCAACTTGGCCCATGCTGAAGATCCGTGCTTCCCTACACCGATCCTCGACGCAGCTTCCGATGCTCCATGTGGCCAGGTCAAGGGCGGCCCTTTTTGAAGGCCCACTCCTGGCAGTAGTGACGGTATGTGACAGTGATCGGCAACGTCTACCTCTTGCATTTGCCTGCATTTGACTGAGGACAGTTCCGACTCAGCCGCGCTAACGCTTACAGCCGCCATTCGCTTTCCAGTTTCCTTACAGTCGCCTTGCGTACATTGGAACCACTTACCGAACCTTGTTAAAGTACATCGGCACTTTTGCTCGGCGTCTTAACAGCTTGTGGTGTGCTTGCCACCGCACTGTGAAAAGCAGGCTGACCATGTAAAGTATGCTGCAAGGCAAGTTAAGTCCACATGCCGCGTGTGCATGGACTCTCTGCACGCATGGCTCACTGCTTTTTCTTCAATCACAACCATCCAGTGAGAACGATGCCTGTTCGCCTACCTCAGCTGCATCCATCGCGACCGGGATGCCTCGTCTCACCTAACACATATGAACAAGGCAGCATTTCGTGTCTTGTGGCTGGGACTTCGCAAACATATCGCGAAGAAAAACACTGCGGAATACAATGCCGCCGGTTGCCCTGTTCGTGATAGGCAGAAAGCAGTATATTCTCATCTGGTTTCGGATTGACATGTCACATCACATCACACAAGCAGGTTGTGTGCATCTTAAATGTCTTGTGCAATGGGGGTACCATGTCAGGGTGCTTATGATCTTGATCACCACGTGCATCCACTTGCATTTTGGGAACGATAGACACACTGAAGCAGTAGCATCAGAGATTGCTGACAACTACAACTGCAAAACAAAAACTTCCTCAGATCTACCTACAAGTCGTCTATACTCAACATATCTGCCATTGTCTTGGCAGACCGTTTTTACAGTCAACATGCCGTTGTTCCCTACACAATTCCTCTTCCGCCCGGCGGTAAGCCCCCTTCTACGCTCCAGGCGTTTCAGCACAGTCTAGTTGCGAACATGTTCAATTGTTCATGTGAAGCAGTGTCCTTCAGTTCCAACACTACAAAGCATCTGCCTTCCCTCCAACGTCTTGAATGATATACTGCTCACAAAAACTTGAAGAAAACGCAAGGGTAAAAGCGTTCCTGCAAAAAAAGACTTCTTGCCCACTTTGAAGAATGCATTATCAATGATCATCAAAGTCATAACGTTGCCTGCGCGGATGTTGTGGGTCTTCCCATCTTGGCCGTGCGGTCCCGTTTTGACCCCCGGTCCCCTTCCCTTCCCGACCCAACAACGAAAGAGGCACGAGGTCCACCTTCCGGTGCTCCCCAGCCGAAATCACGCTCCGGCGAGCACCGCTCTTGTGTCAAGCGCAGCCCCCCCCCCAACCTGATAAGCTGAGAACCTGTGAATTCGTGATGAATGCTGAAACGAGTCTTCACGGTTGACTATGTTCTTAAAGCCTTACACATACAGTGGAAAGAGCTGGGCGGAGGGGCGCAGCTCCCCTCCGTGCTCCCCCTCCCCCCGATCCAACTCCGCCTTTCCAATCCCTTTGCATTCACCCTTTATCCTTACACGCTCAATTTTATTTGAAGTGGTGGGTCCCATGCAGGAAAAGTGGGTCTTTAAAGTCAGGGTCCCAGGTTAGGGCAGCGGAACGGGTTGAGACTGGTCGGGCAATAATATTGGGCATGCATGTCAGCCGATCTGTTGGAGCAATGAGCACATGAACATCGACCTGCTCGGCTGCGTCTGGAACATCGTCCTCATCCACGTCCTGGCGAAACTCGTCTGTGATGGTTCAAGTCTTGAATGCAACGCTAACCGCTCAGCTGCTCTGTAAGGCCTCCACGTTGGGTTGGGAAGCAGATGTTGCTGACGGCCTGCGCATGTTCTGGCTCAGCACATCTTCCACAAACTGCAAAGTGTGATGAAAGCGAAATAACATCCAAACTTGAACAGCGCACCAAACTTTCCAGCAATCCTAGTCTGCTTGCCTCATCTGCGCCTACAGAACCCAGCAAGATAAGTGTGTACACCGAAGGCGGCACTGCAAACAAGACACCCATGTAGATAATCTGTGGTTGCGCAGGGCTGTGGACGGCTTTAGGCGGAGAAACGCAAAAATTGCCCGAAAAGACAAAAAACTGAAAAGTCAAAAAGTTGTTAAAGGCAATTTAGCACAAAAAGTCGAAAAGCCCAAAAATCCGAAAAGTCCTCAGAAGTACGGAAAAGCCTGGAAAGCCGACAAGTCAAAATTCCGGAAAAGACCTGAAAATCCCGAAACCCGCGAAAAGTCACAGAAATCCCGAAAAGTCACAAAAGTAACAAAAAAGCTCTGTCAAAAAGGATCAAACAACCCGAAAAGTGGACAAGTCGCAAAATCCCGGAAAGCCACAGTAAGCATCAAAAAGCCCGAAAAGTCAAAAAGTACCGAAAAACCCGAAAAGTTGAACAATCCCCGAAGGTCCCGACAGGTACCAAAAAGCCCGAAAAGTCGAAAAGTCGTAGCCAGTCTTTCCAAAAAATTGAAAAGTTCCGAGCAGTCATAGCCCAAATGCAACGGAAATTCTCACCCAATGATAACCACATTGTGGGGCTTTGATGTAGCTTCGAAGCTCAACTATACTGGGGCTGCAACTACATCCTCAAGCTGCAAGTAGGGTTATGGCTTCGGAGTTCACACAGAAAGCACACGCATAAATGCGTAATGACTGGGCACTTTCGGATATGATTTTGAGTTTCTGTTCTTGTATGTTCTTGTGGCCTGTCTTTTGTGTTTTGAGGGACCTTCCCTTTTCAATCCAAGCAAACCCCCCTACGTCCCACAACCCCAATCTTCCGAAACATTAACTCTACATTGCAAAGCCTAGACCTCATGCCGATAAGGATCCAACTGCCCGCGTATGAAGGCTTCAGGTAAAAGCGTTCAAATCACAGCATTTGCAACCTAAATCTTATTGCAGCACTCGGCCCTCTAGTCGTTCGAGGGTTTAGGGTTTCCAACTAAACAAATTCCACTAGGTGATCTTTAAGGCCTCGGATTTTTTGCTTACAAGTCACTGATTCTAACTAGCGGAGCATAAGCCTCATAAGGGCATATCTGCCCACGTATGGGGGGGGGTTTCAGGTATCCAAAGCCATTGGGATCATTGCATTTGAAACCCAAATCCAAATCCCCATTATTGCAGCCCTCGCCCTTGGACTACTGGAACTTAGCTTGGGCTACTGGCCCGAATCTTGGACTAACGAGAAAATTGGGGAAAATTGAAAATTAGTTCAGAACTCCTCACACCTTTGGATTACTGGAACTTAGCTTGGACTAATGGGGCGAATCTTGGGGAACTTGAAAATTAGTTCA